TGGGGCGCTTACTCTTGGATTGACTTTGATATGATAATGGTTTTATAAAGTCAGAGGGACGAGAAAGGCAATTCAGTCATTCCGGTAAAGCAGGTGATGGAAACTTTGTATTATTAATGGTTCCGATGGAAAACAACATGTGACTTCATGTATCAGTGAACTCACTATTATGGTACTCATACAGATTTGTTCTCTCTAAGCAAAGACATTGTGATAATTCTATTTTTTGTGTGTTGTTGTTGTTGTTAAGTGCCGTCGAGTCGGTTCCAACTCATAGGACCCTGAACAGGGTTTCCGAGGCTGTAAATTTTTATGGGAGCAGAAAGTCTCATCTTTCTCCCACAAAACAACTGGTAGTTTCGAACTGCTGACCTAGTGGTTCACAGCCCGATTCGTAACCACTACACTACCAGAGCTCGTGTGTGTGTGTGGGGGGGGGGGTAGTGAATTATTTAATGTCTCTTCTAGCCTTAGTGTCTGTAACTCCCACCAAACAACTTTTCCTGACAGGTCTAAGTAAGAGCAGGTGGGAGACGGTACTGATAGGATGATATGATTCAGTTGTGAATGATTATTACCAGAGTTAATTGTGACTGTAAAAACTTGGACTCTAACATGAGCCATCTCTGAAGCAGGAGGGTGGAATCTAACTTCCATCAAAGAAGAGCCAGGCATGGAGCACCTCTTTTGTACTGAGAGATCCTTGCTCATTGCACCTCCTTGACCCAGGGATACTAAAAGCTCTGACACCAGAGGAATGGCAGAGGAGCAGCAGTAGCAGAAGCGAGAGCCAGAGCACAAGGCAGATAAGTGGGTTTCCCAGCTTACTGAGCAAGTAAAGCTGAGAGGCTCTGAGCAGGAGGCTTGCTTGCAGAGTGGGGTGCCTCCAGGCACTTATTTGGGAGAGTTAGATTTGCTGGTTTATGAAACGAGCCAAGTGCCTTCACTCTGAGACTTACGGTGGAGTGGTGTGCCTTATGGGCATTTATCGGCAGCCCTAAAGCATCTGTGTACCGTTGCTGGAGCAGGGCAGAAGCGAGGCTGTCCTAACTCGAAGAACTATGCTCTGGCATTTTCTGATTCAGCATTGTCACCTGTTAACTCCCCTGTTGTTGTTGTTAAGTACTGTGGAGTTGGTTCCGACTTATAGTGACACTGCACAGGGTTTCTGAGGCTGTAAATCTTTACAGGAGCAGAATGTCTCATCTTTCTCCTATGGAACCACTGGTAGTTTCAAACTGCTGACCTTGAGGTTGACAGCCCAACTTGCAACCACTATGCTACCAGAGCTCCTTTAGGTGTTGCTAGGGAATCCTAACTGTGAGTATGGTATCTGAGTTCCGTGTGGCCATTAAAATGAATTGTTGAAGCCAGTTGGGTAGAGAATGCTGTGGGGAGGATGGTTTGATGCTCATTTTTGCAGTGTGGTTCTCAACAAAAAAAGAAAATAGATATATGGCGCATATTATTGTATTCACTGCATTGATGAGTATTTTTCTTGTAGGAGAGGACTTCCATTTTGACTAGATGTTGATGAGAATCCTGTTTATGTATCTAATGATTGGAAAAGTTTTCCACAGACTAGCTTCTGGCTCCATTCATGTTAAATCCTGTTTATCTTAAGCTCCCCACATTTTTCTGGATCAGCCACCTCAGGATACAATCGTATCATGATACACCCTCTAACCTCATGCCTTCATGTCACAAAGACAGAAGAATGGGTTCAATAGACAGTAGCAACACTTCTGGAAGCCATTCCTCCACTAGGACAGCTAGTGATAACAAACACATGTATCTCCCTAAACATAGCTGAATCAACAACTAACTTCATTTCCTCATAGCTGGGTCCTCAATGCTTGCAGCAATTCCAGTGACAGCAGACAGGAAGATAAAATACAGGAGTGGAAGGAGAGAGCAGTCTTAGCAAACCATGGCTAAAATTTTTACTTTGGCAAATTTTATAAAAATATGAACTTGTAGCACCTCCTTCCAGGGCCTTAGAAAGATATTGAGGAAATGAGGGTCTACAAAGCCTACGCTGCATCAAAATAAACACCAACACCACCAACAAAAAACAAACAACAAATCTATTGCCTTTGAGTCTAGTCTTATTTATAGTGACCCCATGTGAGTCAATTCTGACTCATGATGACCCCATATATAGAGCTGCATCCCATAGGGTTTCCTAGACTGACCTTTCAGAAGCAGAGCCCCAGGCCTTCAATCTGAGGTGCCTCTGAGGAGATTCAAACTGCTACCCTTTTGGTGGGTAGTTGAGTACTTAACCATTTGCACCACCTGGAGACTCAGTCCCCAGTGAATCTGCCTCTGGATACCAGGCTAGCTGAGGACGAGAACATGGATGTGTGAAAGCCCTCTGTGTTCTGTAAATCACTTGTTAGGTGCTGACTAGTCAGTTCTGACTCATAGCCCCCCTAATGCACAACAGAACAAAACACTGCCTGGTCCTGTGCCAACCTCACAATTGTTGTTACACTTGTGCCTGTTGTTGCTGTCACTGTGCTATTCCATCTCATTGGGGGGGTCTTCTTTTTTGCTCACCCTCCACTTTAACAAGCACAATGTCCTTCTCCAGGGACTGGTCCCTCCTGATAACACATACACAGTAAAAGATGAAATCTCACCATCCTGGCTTTCTAAGGAACATTCTGGCTGTACTTCTTCCAGCACAGATTTATTTGTTCTTCTGGCAATACATGATACTTTTCAATATTGTTCTCCAACACCACAACTCAAAATCATCAATTCTACAGTCTTCCTTACTCATTGTCCAATTTTCAGGTGCAAGTAAGGCTATAGAAAATGCAATGGTTTGGGTCAGTCACACCTTAGTCCTCAAACTGATAATATTTGCTCTTGAACATTTTAGAGAGGTCTTGTACAGCAGATTTGCCTAATGCAATACATAAAGCACTTACATTTCACCATGCATGATCTTTGAGGTACAGCTGATTATAACAAACTCCGTTATCTCACAGTGTAATTTGGTTAATAATGAATGAATAGTTTAAAAATGTACGGGTGTTGAGGAAGGATTAGCTCCTTGCTGAAACCTCATCTGGACCCTGATTCTGGACCCAGGGAGTAACCATTGGAAGTCACTGGGTGACGGTAGCAGCAGCCACAGATCAGTAAGCGGGTAAAGGCAGAGCTTCTGAGTGGTGGTACCCTCCTCTCCAGCCTGTGACATTGCTACTACCACAGTGGTTTGACTGCAAAACACCACTAACTGGGACCTTGTTCAGCTTTAGACTGGGAAGACTTTGTGGGTGTGTAATTGCACAGGTCTCTGCACTTGATGGGGACCCTCAGTTTGGTTTTAATATTCTGGTTTGTTCAATGCTCCAAGTTCAGTTTCATGATTAAAGTCTTAATAATTTTGGGCCAGAGCCTAGGAATTTTCATTTTACATAGGACCCTGGAAATCCTATAACTCTCCTGGCTCTCTGATTCATTTGGGTTTGTGCTGCTTCTGCCATTCCTCCGACTCCGACCTACTATGGAAAGACACACAGCATAGGCTGATCTTTCAAAACATGTCAGGATTTTTGAAATGTATGTGTAGCTAGGCGCTGGCCCAGGAGTGACCATTCCTGGAAGTGTCCTGACTTGCTCCCATGCCAGACTGTTCCTTCTCTTCGAAACTCATCAGTTGGATAACCGATAACTTCCTGAAACCTGGCTCCATCTCTAGAGAGAACCCTGCTGAATTGAGTTTCTGTCTGCAATCTCAGTGTTGTTACAGGGGTGGTTCCAGCCAGTGATGTATAGAAGGCCTGTGGATCCACTTTAACACTCCCTGAAGATGCTTCTTCCAGAATGAACAATGGGAAAGAGATTACTTCCCTAGTCTGCTGAGGAGGGCAGGTCCCAGTGCCGACCTAACAGGACAGCTCTTACTCCTGTCTTTGACAGAGTCTCTCATGAATTCTCTCCTGTTCTGTTGGTCTAGAAGAAGAAACTACTGGTTAGACTTTCAACAATTCTAAAGACAATTAGAAAGTACTGCGAAGACATGGTTTAGAAAAAAAGAGGACCGTCCAGAAGAGGTTAGGAGTGAGCACTCCAAAGGAGACTTCTCCCACTGAATGTTGGTTAGCCTGCCCGAGTTCCCGTTGCCTCATCCATTAATGGGGCTAGCCCAGGGGATATCTGCTGCACAAGATTGCTGTGAAGTCAGTACACGGAAATGGTTCTCTGAGTTAGTTGAGTGTTGTTGTTGTTGTTATTAAGCGCCATCTAGTCACTTCCCACTCATGTTGTTAAGTGCTATTGAGTCAGTTCCAACTCGTAGCTACCCTGTATAGGGTTTCTGAGAAGCAAATGGTTAGTTTGAACTGCTGACCTTGCGGTTAAAACTGACCTTGAGACCCAGTGCTTATCCTACAGCCCCCACTAGGACTCCATACGTATCAGTACTGATTATTAATACAGTCAGTCTTAACCATTTGGTCATACATAGCCCTTTGGAGAATCTGATGATATCTACATCCTAACTCTAAAACTGTCACCTCTCTCCCAACCCTCAAAAGGCTTGCCTATTGTTCCAGGAATCAATCCCTTGAAGCTGCTTCCTGGAACCCAGCTGTCTCTAAAAGATTCACTTAAACATTGCCCTCTCCACTCTCCTGCTGAGCCTCCACCTGTGGGTCCCTGATGAGGGCCATGGTCCCCTAAGGGTCCTGGCAGGCAGCGTGGTGGAGGCCAGAGGGGCGGGCCCAGGCTCTCAACCCGCCCAGCGCTGGCTTGGGGTGGGGGCTCCTGCCTATTAGGGGAGGGAACCTCTGCGTCCAGGGCCAAGGGAGGAAGGGAGAGAGGGAGGCACGGGTGAAAGGCGTATTGATGCAGCCAGCGGCGGGCTCTGAGCTTGGCGGGCTCCGACGCTGACCACGTCCTCTTCCTCCTCCTCCTGCTACTTGTTCGCGCTCCGCGCCTCCAGGCCGCCCAGCTCCGCACATCCCCGCACATTCCTGCGTGCCATGTGCTCCCAGCACCCCGCCACCTCCTCGCAGCAGCTGCTCGGCCTCTTGGTCCTGGGGCTGCAGCTGCTAGCACTATCGAGCGGCTCCGAGCTCCCCAAGGGCAAGCAAAAGGCGCTGCTCCGGCAGAGGGAGGTAGTGGATCTGGTGAGTACGGGGAGGGCGGCAGCTGGACTGGTAGAGGCGACCAAGTGGTGGGCAGCATAGTTTGGGCTTCTATCTAGCTGTCGGGGCGGGGGGGGGGCGGCTGGTGTCTGCACAGTTGTGTG